CCGGGCTATGGAGCTGGACGGGGCTTTGGGGGCCGTCGGAGAGTTCGGCCGCAGCCAGCGGCGCCTCGCCGCCTTCCTGGTGCTGCTGCAGGTGGGCGCGGCGGTCCCGGTCCCCGGCCCGGGCAAGGCCCCGGGGCCCAGCGAGGCAGCAGCGGCGCCTGGCCCCATTAAGCGTGATGGGAGGAGGGCCCCGCCCGGCCTCTGGCTAAGCAGGTGCCCTTGGTGGGCACCTGTGCCCTCCCCGCTTGTCCTTAAACGTGGCCTCCTGCCAGCAAGGCCGCTGCTTGCTGCTCCCCTGAACGGGGAGGGGTCGGGGGGTCCGTATCCCTGAGTTTTCCCAGCCGAAGCAGCGGCTCCCCACAGGCAGAGGGGGCTTCCTCAGAGATTTGCTTCAGGGTGCGGAGTGGCAGGGGTGGCCCACGAGGCCTGCACCACCTGTTTTGTGGCTGGAAGGTCAGGGTGTGCACGTCCAGGATGCTTACTTTGGACAGGTTTGCCTTAGATCCAGGCGGAGGGAGCCCAGGAGGCCCAGCCAGGCGCTGGTGAAGTCAGGTAGTTGTTTCTTGGCAAATGGAGGAGCCATTAGTGTGTATGAGTCAGTTGGAAACCCGGGGCAAGGATTTTCTGGGTGTCATCTTCTGTTGGACCAGCTCGCTCCCTCTTGCTTCTGTTCCACAGGAGGTGTTTGCACAGTGCCGACTGCTCCGCATGGGGCTGTTGGCCCTGGGGCTGTGCTGCAGCCTGCTGTGGACAGCATGCTTGGGCAGAGCTGATTTTGTGCCTGTTGTATGCCACAGAGTAGACTCCCCCTTAGCAGTCATGTTGTGTGTCTGCCTTGCAGAATGATTTCCCATTTGTGTGGTGTTTTTGTTGCACACTGTCTTGTCTGTGTTTCCTCCCTTGGGCTGCATCTAGACAAGTGCAGGTATGCAGTATGTGGTACTGTAGACCCATCTGCAGTGCCACACACCACACATTCAGGTGTTACCTGTGCTGCTGCCTTGCACCTTGGGGAGGAGTGGGGTTTGATCCCGGGAGATTGCAGGGCAAAAAAACCCAACCCAACAGAAAAAAAGCAGGGTGGTACACATGGTGGCAGCATGCATGCATTGCCCAAAACCAGAGCCTGGCCTACCAGAGCCACACTCTGCCAGCTGTCCAGCTGCAGGAGTGCTGTTGCTGGCCCCAGCCTCCGCTACCCGACCAGGGAATCTGCCACACGCCAGAGGGTGCGTGACATAGGCGTTCCCCAGGGACAAGTAGCAGCCGCTGCTTCTTGTCCCCAGGGAAACAAACGTCCATGCTTGTATAGACATGACCTTACTGTTCTTTCTTGAGTGCTCTGAAGTTCATTGTCATTGGCCCCAAAAAGCAATAATTTTTTTTGGCAGAAAGGCTTGTGGGGTGATCTTCGTGAAGTCTATGAAGTCACTTGTGTAGCTGATAATCAGAAGTAATGGGCATCTAGACACTCTCATTGATTTGTCTATTGACTTACAAAACCTAACTCTGAGCACCCATTATTGAAAGATGTGCACAGTCCATTCAAAAAATGTGAAATTAATGTGAAATGATACATATTTTCATTTTTGAGGCAATATTTAAACGTTTGCCATATAGAATATGTCGTCAATAATTCTAATATTATAAAAGCCTAAGTCTGTCTGTCTGTCTGTTTGTCCGTCTGTCCATAACACTTTATTTGCGCTCTGATTGGTTGACAAATAACCAGAGTGCAAACAAGTGTTGCAACAGGAGCTGGTGGCATGGTAGAATGCCGCCATGATGGCAGAGACACGGGATGAGGGAGGGGGAGCGAGACCAGCACCCCCCTTGCTGCCCTGCTCCTTGGAGGCAGGGGCAACGGAGCGGATGGAACAGGGTGGGTGAGGCCAGCAGTGCTGGCCTCACCTCCCTCCCCCC